TAGAGATCATTATAAATTTACGGGACAATATGCACTAGTGTTTCTGGGCGTTTAGACTGCATGAGGATTAATATACACAATTTTTTTTAGTCAACCATTTAACACAATTATCACTCATTTTATAATTTATTGTCATAAAGATGTATATCTGTTCAGTGTAGAGTGCATAAAGAAGGTCGAACATACAGTACTGAGACATAAAATGAGTTAGACATATGTAAATCATTACTCTATCAGTTGGTATATCGTAGTTTCAATTATCACTATTGAAATATCCAATTCGGCTTTATTTTACTTTGCTTGGTAAGATAGTTTTTGATAAAATACAAAACTTTGCAGTTACCATAATGAATATTCAGGCAATATCGAGGCAGCCGCATAGAGGCCCATAAGCCATTATTATTATTATTATTTGTCCTTTCGGTTCCTAATGCAACATAGGGCTTCAGTAGCACGTCTCCAGTGCACTCTGTCCTCTGCAAACTTTTGAACCTGGCTTCACGACAACCCAGAAACTCTCATTTCTTCCTCGCACGATCTCCTCCATGTCACCCTCGTCTCGGACGCCCAACTCATCGTTTCCCATCTGGGTTCCACTCGAAGGCGTGGCCTGACGCGTGATGTCCCTGAATGGTCTCAGTGTATGCCTAATCCATCTCCACTCCCCTCTGCATATTTGTTGAGCGATAGCTTCTTGCTTCCTTGGTTCGTTGCCAGCCAGCCAGAGTTCCTTGTTGCCTATTCTCATTATTCTGGCAATCTGAGCTTCAGTATCGAGTGAGCGTAGGTGGCAGCTGTTGATGAAGATCTGTAGTTTGTTGGAAATCCCTTTCGTAAAGCTCCAAGTCTCTCAACCATCACATAGAAGCACTGACTTGACATTGGTGTTGAAAATCCAGACCTTTTTCTTTGTGCTGAGTGCAGTAGATCTCCACACTGGTTTCAGGTTATTGAACGCCTGTCTTGCTTTTCGATCCTGGTTTTGACATCCTCGTCTGTGTTCTTTAAGTTTCTCCCATTGATGGTGATTGGAGCTTGTTGTTGTTGCTGTTAGTTGAGTATCTTCATCACCTCTGTCTTCCCTACATTCACTTGAAGTCCCGTCTTCGCTGCCTCGCCTCGCCTCGCTCATCACCTCTTCTGTCAACTTGTTAGTTTTCGCCTGTAGATCTTCAAGTTTGTGTGACATTAGACATAAGTCATCGGTGAAATCTAAATCTTGTAGGTTCTTTTCCCTGGTCCAGTGTATCCCCCTTTTCTTGCTTCTCACTGATCCAGTCGACCACAATCAGGAATATCATGGGTGATACATAAGCCATCAGGTGTCGAACAATTCGATCTAATATAACAACAGAGAATTACAAGTACATCAACAGATAGTTATTACCAATATCTGTTGTATAAGAGGTGGCTATCGTTCCTCGGTGGTCTAGTGGATAACGCTTTGTCGTTTGAAGCGATGGGTAGGAGGTTTGAATTTCAGTAGGAACAACACTCTGCACTAGGGTGCAGGTACATCGAGCTGATGAGTCCTAAATAGAAAGAAGCGCGCATCCTGAATTCTTCTGCTAGCCACAAAAAAATGAATAAATCCAGTGTTTGTAAAATATTCAGTTCCTAGTTAGAAAATTTCACCGCAGAATATGATCTCGTTGACCCTGACTGAAATCAAGATGGTGAGCATGATAGCTCTATAGAACTTAATAGCGAGCATCGTTGATCCACCTAAGCGGTTTTCAGCTACTCATGCCAGTTACTAGTATGATGAAAAAATTCATATCTCAAGATGAAGAGGATGGTGGTTGAGTGTTCTGTGAGCTTTGATATTTTGTCATGAACGTCTCATCATCAGGATTGTTGACTTCTTTATGAAGTTATAAAGTTTCCATCCTTATAATCTAGATGTCAGTGATGGTGTCGAGTAGATCATATTATATGATATGAATACTTTGTTATTTATCGTTAACCATGGTGACATTTATCATGAACATCTTGTGTATTTTACAAACGCTTGGTTTCATTATAGGTATAGACAGTTTGCTTAATTAGTTATTCAGAATTCAAGTAATCTAAACCATTCGGGTATGTGAACTGAATCACTCCGGATATATCCCAGATAAACTCAACTCGTCGAGTATTTACATCACCTTGATCTGACTAGCAAACATTGCAGATCCGTTTGAATGGTTTACAACTACTAATGATAGTCAGTAGTATATTTTTGTAAAATATAATGAAAATTTAAATCGTCATATGGACAATCCACATACTAATTAGTTATATGTTTCCACTTCACTTACCTGAGAAGTAGGATCAGCCCTGGTGCGTTGGTCAGTGACCGATGAAATTTCTGCACGGATACAAAAGGCTCGGCTGGCTTTTGCCAATTCACGCATCCTATGGCACCGCCGTGATATCCGTTTGTCTATTAAGGGTCGTGTGTACTGCAAAGCGGTCAGGTCTCTTCTACTCTATGGCTGTGAAACATGGCCATTGAATGTCGGAGACATGAGAAGGCCGTATTCCGTGGTGTCACCACGTGAGTAATGCAGAAGTCAGGTGTAGAGTTTTAGGGAGTAGAGGCAAGTCAGTTGACGAGGTTATGAACCTTCATCGATTGAGATGGTTGGGACATGTACTACATATGCCTAGTCACCGATTACCTTGTCACACAATGTTGGCTGAGGTGGGTCCAGGCTGGAAACAGGCCCGAGGTGGCCAGACTAAAACATGGCACCAATGTATGAAGTCTCTGACTGTTGGTTTGAGCCATGTGGAGCGATGCAGACTAGGTGGTTGGGGTCGGCGGGATAAGAGGAACCAACGGAGGTTGGAGACTGATTCTAGGTTATCACATGGCTGAGAACCGATGTCAGTGGCGCAGATGTATACATACATTATCCTCATCTTAACGAGGTTATACAGAATCTCACCATTTCCCCATTCTTTCTTCTCGTACTTAATATTTCTTTCGATTGCATTCTGTTATGTTCATCTTTCACCTCACTACCTTTCTACTTGATGTATTGATATGAGGTGTGACAAGTTGGACCGTTACGCAGTAATGCCTGGTTCTATGTTGATATTGATGATGATGTTTCCATCTCAAAGCTGCATTCAACGATGTGTATTTTTCAAGTAAACTCCTCTTGAGTTTATCCTTACACCCAGTGAGAACTTAAGAATAAACCTTTTTTGAAGTAGATAAAATGATTCAATTCATCATATTTTGATTTAATTTACCACTCTCCATCTCTCAGGTCATCATAACTCACTCATAATAATTAGACAGTTTTCTTCTTCTATAGCTGTTCATTACTTTATTGAATGAAGTTATTTGTTTTTCAATTCTCAGTGATATAATTCCACTTGATACCTGAAGGACTAGTTTATACGTTTCATTGATTATTTATTACTGTTAAATAACCAAACTCAGAGAACAGAGTACAATGAAGACCACCTACCTGGGCTATAAATATTCTTAGTCATTAGTGTTATTGCTTGTATTACACCATCGTTGATTGGACCGAATTGATCAGTCTCTGTTGACATATGGGCTCCTGTACGGATGCCTCGATATTGTTTGTGTTTCAATTATATATAGTAATGATGAATAGTGGCTAGTAGTGGAATCCAGGATGAGCATTTCGTTCTATTTGGGACTCGTCAGTTGGATGTACCTGCCTCCCAGTGTGGAGTAATGTTGTTCTCTACCATTTATTATTACTTCATTTCCTCAAAGTTGCATATGTTTTTATTGTAAAATCGATAGACAAGTATGCATTGTCTTTTAATCACACTATCTTATTACTCATTTCACTGTCTATCATCTTTGCATTTAAATCGTTTGACTAGTCTAGACAGTTAATTTTCAATCTGAAGTAGGTCACAGATTCGAACTTCACTCAGGTTTGGGCAACCAGGTAGGTATCACTAGCCGTAACACAATAGCTTTTAGTTGACTGTGTACTGTCCTGAAAGTGTACGTGTTTACCAAGTTGGATTTCCAACTATTATCCCACTAATGTGGTTGCTCGTATTTTCCCATCATTGAGTTGACCGAGCTGATCGGTCTCTATTGGTATATGGGCTTCTGCGCGGACACCCCGATATTAGCTGGTAATGCAATCCAGGACTCGCGTTCCGTCCTATTTAGAACTCGTCAGCTGGATGTATCTGCTTCCCAGTGAGCGATGTTGTTCCTACTAAGACTTGGACTTGGGACCGATTGCTTCGAACGCCAAAGCATTATCCACTTGGTCACCGCGTCACAATAGCCACTTTTTGTGACACCTCACTATTATGTAACTGAGACAGGCAATATCAAGGCATCCATGCATGAGCCCGTAGGCTAATAGAGAGCGATCAATTCGGTCCATTCAACGATGGGATAAAACAAGCAACAACATCAAAACTATACTTGTCGTACAAGAAGTGTCTGCCGTGACTTGGTAGTCTGATGGAGTAGTCGATCTCGAGTAGTAGTGGGAAACACCAGCCCCAAATTCTACCACTAGCCATAAATAATTCTCGTATATTGTTGGTGATATAGTATACAATTCACTGGTATTGCAGAAACAAGAATAATGTACACCGATGAAGATTGTTCACTGTAGATTTACGTGGAGTATTGGTAAAATAATTGATACTTCACATTGAATGCAGTTCTCACACAAATAGTATCTGTATTCTACATCCGTGATAAGATTTTTTTTCAGTTTCTGTTGCTTCTGTGTTGATCTTTCTCATTCCTTTGCTATGTTCTTCTTGACGACGTCTGTTGATTAGATTTTATCTCTAATTACCAATCCCAGTGTTGTCTTTCTACATGCTACTCATATGTGTTCTTATTAGTAGTATGTGCCACAGTACAGCTGCAAATATATGTAGTGAAACAACTACCTATAAAATTTATAAATGCTTTATTGATCTTAATGTGTAATAATATGTAATTGATTGTTAGCGATTAAAAATTTCCTGTCTTTGAAAATATATTTCAGCTTCCTCGAAATCTTCGTCACCTCTATGTCCATAGTTACCAATCTTTCTTATGGAATCATGTAGCTAGTCGACGTATGACCCAACAGGATCCAAATGATTTCTATGCCAAACCTGGTGATCTTTATTATGGTACAGAGAATGTGACAGTTTCAGATGACTGTGAAAATGGTACGTTCTTAAGAAAGTAATCTAACTAGGCAACATTTGTTTGGAGAAAATCATGAAAATCATGAATCACTAAAGAGTTGTTCAATCATAATTCAAAACCTTTTAACATTATGTATACTCTTTAAACACCAAGTATAGGTTATTTAAACTACACAGCTAAGACATTTCCTTTGGCATATTTTGATTGTATCCACTAATACAAAGTTATTTTTTGTCATCGAACCAACATGTTATGGATTTCATCATCTCTTCAACTATTGAGGTTTAAGCAGCCCCAGTTAGTTTTCACTCAATTGATGTGACTCATTGCCTATGAAAGGTTGCTGAGTACATTTTAAAATATTTGCAAGGTAATAGGAAAGGTAAATTTGCAAACTATCAGCATAAATTTCAAATGATTCCTGTTAGGTATTCAGGTGATGGTGGTGGTTATGTAATAGCACAGATTTATCCTTATCTAGTTTCATTTCCTCTTTGTTTCATAACATTGCAGACAGTTTCAAAGTAGAATCTTGCATAGAAATGCATCGGCTCAAGTTGCTACACACTTCACAGTAATACCAAAAGAATAGACGGATACAGAAAGAGTGATAAAGTAGTGTAAGAGAATGAACAATCTGAATAAAACGATTGGTGCAGATCATATTTAAGCTTTAGAAGGTGCTTAAAAATGAAAACATCTACGCCACTGTGACCGATTTTCAGGCACATCATCAAAAGTTCTTAACCACTGATTCGCATCGTCTCAATAACTCAGACCAATAATCAGGGACTTCATGGATTGGTGTCACGTGTTGATCTGGTCACCGTAAACCCTCTTTCAATGTAATCTAACTTTTGATAATGTAATCAGAAGACGTAGATTATCTGAAAAATGTGATGTATTAGCGCTATACATTTCGAACAATCTGATCACACATTTACTTGTTAAGGCAATTATATATGAAAACTAGAAGTGGGGGAAGGACACATATGACATAAAGGCATTCAATAATAAGAAAGATAATAAGAGGAATAAAAGATAAGACTTGAAGACAATCTTATTTATTATTTATTAGTCCCTTGGGTTCCTAATGGAACATAGGGCTTCAGTAGCACGCTTCCAGTGACCTCTGTTCTCTGAGATCTTTTGAACCTGGTCCCACGACAGCCCAGAAGCTCTCATTTCCTCCTCGCACGACCTCCTCCATGTCACCCCCGGCACGGACGCTCAACTCGTCGCTTCCCATGGGGATTCCACTCGAGGACGTGGCCTGACGCGTGATGTCCCCAGTCGGCCTTCTCAGTGTATGCCCAATCCATCTCCACTTCCTTCTACTGCATATTTGTTGAGTGATAGGTTGTTGGTTGGTTCGTTCCCAGAGCTCTTTGTTGCTTATTCTTTCTGGCCATCTGATCTTCAGTAACGAGCCGGCGTAGGGGGTAGTTGTTGATGAATGTGTGTAGTTTATTGGAAATCCCTTTCGTGACGCGCCAAGTCTCTCAACCATCACACAGAAGCACTGGCTTGACGGAATTGGTGTTGAAAGTTCGGATGTTGTTCACGCTTTATGCTGAGTGCAGTGCAGTGCAGAAGATCTCCACACTGGTTTCAGGCTAATGAACGCCTGTCTTGCTTTTCCGATTCTGACTTTGACATCCTCGTCTGTCCCTGTGCCGCGTGTAGTTGAAACGATGCTTCCTAGATAGGTGAAGGAGGTTACTTCCTTTAAGTTTCTCCTGTTGATGGTGACTGGAGTTTGTTGTTGTTGATGGTGGTGGTACGGTATCTCATCACCTCTGTTTTCCCTACATTCACTTGAAGTCCCGTCTTCGCTGCCTCGCCTCGCCTCGCATCACCTCTTCTGTCAACTTGTTAGTTTTCGCCTATAGATCTTCAAGTTTATGTGACATCAGGCACAAGTCGTCGGCGAAATCCAAGTCTTTTAGGTTCTTTTCCACAGTCCAGCGTATCCCCCTCTTCTCACAGCTCCCCACTGCTTGCTGCATTATCCAGTCCAGTCCTCCACAATCAGGAATATCATGGGGGATAACAGGCAACCTTGTTTCACTCCTGTCTTCACTTCACTTCCGAGGCATCACTGAGCTTCCCATTGTGAATTACTTGGCATGTGGCATCTTCATATAGTAGTTGAATGAGGCGGATAAAGGTTTGCGGTACTCCGTAGTATTGAAGCAGTTTCCAAATTACCTCTCGGTCGACGCTGTCAAAAGCCTTCTCGAAGTCGATGAAGTTGAGGTAGAGAGCTGATTGCCATTCTATGCTCTGTTCTATGATGATGCATAGAGTGGCGTTGCAATTTGGTCTGCACATGATTTGTACTTCCTGAAGCCTGCCTGTTCCGGTCGTAGTTTTGAATTCAGTGCATCTTTAAGCCTCTCCAGGATGATGCGGCTTAATATTTTACTTGGGGTGGATAGGAGAGTGATTCCGTGCCAGTTCTTGCAAACACTGAGGTCTCCTTTCTTCGGCAGTTTGACAAGGTAACCCTTCTTCCAATCAATGGCCAGGTACCTTCTCTTCCTTCCACACCTTCTGCAATAGTGGTGTGGTGTGAGCATGTCCGTTGAAGTTGTCTCTGCGTCTGTTTTCAGTGCTTCTGGCGGTATTCCATCTGGTCCTGCTGCTTTCCCGCATTTCAGTAGCTTTATGGCGTTCAGGACTTCCATTTTCGTTGGAGGATTTATGTTCACTTGTAGTTCAGCGGCTGCAGGTGGTATTTCTGGACGAAGTGCAGGTGGTGGTCGATTCAAGAGCTTCTTGAAGTGGTCGGCCCATCGTTTCCTCTGTTTCTCTTCTTTTGTAATTAAATTTCCTTCTTCATCTTTTATTGGTTTCATCTGTGTTGGTCTCTTCCCAGATAGCAACCTGGTTATTTGATACAATGTCGTCAGGTCTCTCTTACCTGCAGCCTGTTCTGCTTCACTTGCCAGTGTGTCGTAGAAGTGTCTTTTGTCTTTGCGTGCACTCTTCTTCACTTCTTTATCCAGTGTTTTATACATTGTGCTCAGTTCCTCTTGTCGTTGAGCATCCTTGCACTGGTTTATCTTCTGCTTCACCATCCTCCTCTCCCTCCTCTGTCAGCTTCCATGTATCCATCGAGATCCATTCCTTGTCTTCTTTCTTCTTCCTTCTTAATACTGTTGTGCAGGTTTCTTTCCACATCTCTTTCAAAGACTTCCAGTGTTCTTCCACACAGGTTTCTTCAAGGATGTTGCTCGATATCTCCCATTTTGTCTTGATGGCTGGCTGTCGTGAAGATTTCCTTTGTAGTTTCATCCTTCAGTTTCTCTTCTGGGTGTTGTATTTGAACTGTGGTCTATCACCAGCTTCCTTGAAGGCTTTCAACTTGATTTGGAAGGTTCCTTGCACTAGATGGTGAGTGGTCTGAACCTACATCTCCTCCTCTTCTTGACCTTGTGTCAAGTAGACTGTGTCTCCATTTTCTTGAGATTGAGATAAAGTCGATTTGATTTTTAGTGTGTCAGGTGTCTGGTGAAATCCATGTCGCTTTGTGGATATCCTTGTGCTTGAACAGACTGCCTGACTCCAATCACCAAATCGTTGAATGCACAGAATTCTGCAAACAATTTTCCATTCTCGTTCATCACCTCACCGATCGCTTCTCGACCCATGGTTAGTTCTCTTCCTGTGTTGTCCCCTCCTAGTTTGGCATTCATGTCACCCATTAGAATTTTGATATCGCCAACCGGAGTGGTGTCTTGTCCAGTGTTGATTGAAGTTGTTTGTAGAATTCCTCCTTTTTCTCTTCATCTGCATTATTTGTAGGTGCATGGAGTAGCATTGTATGATTGTGACCTTTCTTCCTTTTGAGTTGAATCTTGCTGTCATGATCCTACAGGAGGAGATTGGTTCCCACTTCATGAGAGCCTTCGATGCTTTTGGGGACATCATGATAGCCACTCCAAAACTCAGTGTGCTCGTGGTTGTCGTCTGGGTGACCAGAGTTGATTATTGATTCTCCAGCTGACAGTTTGGAAATTCGACTCCCATTCCATCTGCTTTCGCAAATTCCAAGCACGTCAATGTGATACCTTCTCATCTCTTTTGCAATCTGGGCTGCCTTGCTGTGTTCAAACATGGTGCGGACATTCCATGTCCCCACGTTTACCTTCGCTTTCATCTAGGGAGAGAAGACACATCGGCCACTTGGCTTCGCGAGGGCAGGCTTTCACCAACTGGCGTCATTTCGCCTCTCCGATTCCATCGAGGAATAATTTTGTTTTTAATTTTTATATTTCGTTTGTGCTTTGAAGTTTCTTTGGGGGTTAGATTTGTTTTACGGGGTAGGGTTGCTAGCCCTATGCCCAACCTTCTCTGTTTACCCGGGCTTAGGACCGGCTAGTGAACTAGTTAACCAGGCGAGGTTATATATATATTTATATATTCAAAGGGTGTGGTCGTATTGAGTGTACACGAAAATCATTCTTTACTTAATATATTCCATTTAGTTATGTATACATTGACATATTTGAGATTTAGTTGATACTTTGCTTTAGATGATTCATTTGAATCACTTTTTATGCAAATAATGATAAGTGTAAGGAAAGGTCAGCTTAGTTTATATGGAATAAGAACAAAGAGTCGACAGTTTAGCATAAAAAAAATGAATCTCAAATCCATTTATACATGTTACAAAACCGGAGAAATGTTTACTTTGTAATTCTGTTATAGAATATGCTATATTATTATAATAGTTGGTTGTTCTTCATTCCATTTCGAAACTCAGTCTTTTTTTTAATGGTTTAAGTCATCATGATACTGATTAACTGTTATTTATTATTATTATTAGTCCCTTGGATTCCTAGCAGAACATAGGGCTTCAGTTGCACGTCTCCATTCCACTCTGTTCTCTGAGATCTTTTGAACCTGGTTCCACGACAGCCCAGAAGCTCTCATTTCCTCCTCACCCGACCTCCTCCATGTCACCCCCACCACGGACGCCCAACTCGTCGCTTCCCATGGGGATTCCACTCGAGGATGTGGCCTGACGCGTGATGTCCCCAGTCGGCCTTCTCAGTGTATGCCCAATCCATCTCCACTTCCTTCTACTGCATATTTGTTGAGTGATAGGTTGTTGGTTGGTTCGTTCCCAGAGCTCTTTGTTGCTTATTCTTTCTGGCCATCTGATCTTCAGTAACGAGCCGGCGTAGGGGGTAGTTGTTGATGAATGTGTGTAGTTTATTGGAAATCCCTTTCGTGACGCGCCAAGTCTCTGAACCATCACACAGAAGCACTGGCTTGACGGAATTGGTGTTGAAAGTTCGGATGTTGTTCACGCTTTATGCTGAGTGCAGTGCAGTGCAGAAGATCTCCACACTGGTTTCAGGCTAATGAACGCCTGTCTTGCTTTTCCGATTCTGACTTTGACATCCTCGTCTGTCCCTGTGCCGCGTGTAGTTGAAACGATGCTTCCTAGATAGGTGAAGGAGGTTACTTCCTTTAAGTTTCTCCTGTTGATGGTGACTGGAGTTTGTTGTTGTTGATGGTGGTGGTACGGTATCTCATCACTCTGTCTTCTCTATATTCACTTGAAGTCTCGTCTTCGTTGCCTGTTATAATGCCCAATTATTTTTCTAGGATTCTGTATACATTTAGGTAAGTGAAAAAAAGTAAAATACTTAAGACTTTACAGTACTAGTTGAATATATTTCTCTTCTTCTTCGTCTATAGAAGATATTATCTTTGATAATTCAATATTAGAAACTAATGAAACTATGGTAATATCAACAAATTCTATTTTATCATCAAAGAAAACACCATCCCTTATTCATCCATTAGTGGTTGGTGAAAATGAAATTAGAAAAATACCATTAAAGTATGTTGTACTTCCTGTTCCTGGTTATGCTATACATTATCCTAAAAATCAAAGTAAGCATTACTTTATGTATATACATATACAGATGAATGTTAATATACACTTTTTATATCATACTTTGAATTTTCATTTACATGATTGATATTACTAAAAATCTACTCCTAAGATATATTTATACTCTTTTTACGGCATATCGATGAACACTTTCTACATTCTTTTTTTTATTCCTATCCATTGTTGGATGATGAAAACAGTTCACTATACGGTTAAACAATATGCAGAAATGTGGTTTGAGTAGATGACTATCAACTATTGAGTCACAAGTTCATAACCTGCTGCGCTTACTTAGGTTTGGGCAACCAAGGAAGTTGTATTCTTAGCCCTCACATAATAGGGTGATTCATTGCCTACTGTATTGATGTGTATAAGGTGACTGATCCTGGAGGTGGAGATTGGTTCTTACTGTATGAGAGCCTTTGATGCTCTTGACAACATCATGATAGCCACTGCTAAACTCATGTACTCATGGTTGTCGTCTGGGTGACAATATCGGAGTAGATTATTGACTCTCCAGTTGGGAGAGTCCACTTCCATTCCATCAGCTTTCACAGATTCTCAGCCTAGCACTTCTATGCCATACCTTCTCATCTCTTTTGCAATCTGGACAGCCTTGCAAGCCAGTTTCAAACACTGTTCGGACATTCCATGTCCCCATGTTTACTTTCGCTTTCATCAAGAGAGAGAGAGAGAGAGAGAGAAGACACATCGGTCAATTGGCTTCCCGAAGGCAGGTTTTCACCAACTGGCGTCATTCCTTCTCCCCCGATTCCAGCAAGGAATAAGTTTGTTTTATTGTTTATATTTTTTTTGTGCTTTGAAGTTTCTTTAGCGATTGGATTGGTTTTACGGGGTAGGGTTTCCAGCCGTATGCCCAACCTTCCCCCTTTGCCCGGACTTAGGACCGGCTAGTAACTAGTGAACTAGTTAACCAGGCGAGCGTTCAAGTCAGTGATCCATCTACCATTCTACACTTATCATTACAAAGTGGAAAGGAATACTGATGAGGAATAGTATTTCACGTATATACGCCATAACTACTTACATACATAAACACACATACAAAACATTAATTATACATATAACTTGATTGCATATTGCTAATGTTCGTTCGTTAGCTCGATTTCTTCATGAACTCCACTCCACCTATTTTACTTTACGCAACCTGACAGTAGCATATAAAGTGTGACTCTACTACGCTAAACGTGTATCATGTTGACGAGTTACTTAAACCTGTATATGTAATGATGAATGAGCATTTCGTATGCCCAAGTTATAATATTATGCATAGATAATGCAGACACATAGCCATACCTACACACTTCAGTATATCTGGGAAGATGAACAGTTGATGAAACCATAGCATTTTCAACCAAAAGCTCTTTTAGCCTACCTCATGTAACTATGTGAAACTGTAAAACATAGTTGTGAAACAATTATGATTATAGTTTTGATGTTAAAAGCTTGTGAATTTTTATTATTGTTTGCACGGAATTGATCGGTTACTACTGACTACAGGGCCCCTGCGGAGATACCTTGATATTGCCAGTATTTTCGGTTTTTATATCAATGATGAGTAGCGATTAGCAGTGGAATACAGGACGCGCTTATTATTCTAATCAGGGCTCATCAACTGAATGTATCTGCCAGAAAGTGACAGATGGTGTTTCCAAACCAATCTATGATATTGAGGCATCTTCAGAGAAGCTCATATGCCAGCAGTGATAAACCAATTCAGTTCAGTCAACAACGGAGACCTATAAGCTGTAATATCAAAACCATACTATACCCGCTACACAAAAAGTGGCTATTAGAACTCGGTGGCTTAGTGGATAACACTGACGTTTGAAGCGATTTGTCCTAGGATTCTTACTGGGAACAAAATCACTCACTGAGAGGTAGGCACATCCAGCTGACGGTATCCAAATAGGATACAATGTGGTATGGCTAGCCGAAGGAGGAGACATTAAAGAGATTATGAGATCGATCAGTCCCATATTTAAAACAATCTTAATCCACTAATAGACAGTGAAATGAACTACACAGTTTTAGCATCACATATACATACATATATGATAATCCAAGCTTGATTACCTCTAAAAGAACAAGACTTCTGAATGAATCAATGAAATTTTCTGTATTTCAAACAAACTGAGATTTGTACAAATATAACTTATAACTTAGTGTCCATAAGTACTTTTGCAAGATTTTCAGGAGCCTATATCTGCACTCACCCTAGGTGGTGAACCTTTGGAAGTAGTAGAAAAGTACTTGTATCTGGGAAACTGTGTTAGTAATTAAATTTCTAATCGCATATCGAAACCCAGATTAGTATACACAAGTCGGTGTCAACAGTTCTGCTCTACGCATGTGAACCTGACCTCTTCTAACCGAGGATATGCGACGACTCTGAATGTTCAATCATCGTTGTCTCCGTAAGATTGCTCGTACCCGGTAGCCACACTGTGTAAGTAATTCGGAGGTATGACAGCGTGTGTTTGGGCATGATGGAGATCTTCATTCAATAAGTGAAGTCATTTGGGAAAACCGTCTTCAGCTGCTTGGACATATGTTACAAATCTTGTCCTAACGGCTTCCATACCGTTCAATGTTTACTAGCACTGGGACTGGATGAAAGAAGCAGAGGTATGATCAGTGTATGGTGTGGCGCTGTTGAACGAAGGATATTCCCTTCGGGTGAGCATCTGTTGGTTCATTACGACTCCCTGGGTGGGGTCCGAGAGATCACGCAACTTAGTGGCTTGACATGTTATCAGATATGTCTCAAAATCGAAATCAGTGGTGATCATACTGTAACTTCCTTCTATCTTCTGCTGCTGAAAAGTTATGAATGTTTGGTCTCGAATGTACCTTACTGAACTGCTCTTCGAATTATTCTATTCTTATTGTGGTTCGTTTTTACGTAACCACTTTCCTTCGCGTTTTATCTTCATAATATTGTTATGTTATTTTGTGTGGTGCATTTCTTGGTGCTTTGCCATACTATCTTTGTATTCTAATAATAATAATAACAATAACAATGATAATAATAATGATAATGATACTAACTATGGTAATAATAATAAACACCTGAGTCTTAACTACGGTTGTTTTTAACGAAGCATATCTACGGCTCGTGTTTGGATACGTTAGGTGGTGCGATTTGGAATTGATCTCAATGGTACAGATGTATCCACACATTATCTTTGTATGAATCATCACAAAGAACTTCAATAACTTCTCATTCTCCTTGCTTTCTTCTGACAGCTCCCTATCATTTTCGACTGCTTTCTCCTTTCTGTATTATTTCATGTCGGCGCATTCTTCCTTCATATGGTGATATTAAGTATGTGGACTATTACACAGTGATGTCAAGTCCTACACTGAAATTGTTTCATCCATCTTGTATGTATAGCTCATAATTTTATCCGTTACATTATTAGATTTGTACCGCATTAATATAAATGCATCGATTCACAGTGGAAAGCTCAGTGACGCCTTTCAAATGAATACAGGAGTAAGACGAGGCTGCTGCCTACTATCATCGATGATCTTCCTGATTGTGGTCGACTGGATCATGCAGCAAACAGTGAGGAGTGAGAAGACGGGCATACGATGGACCGATGAGAAAAGCCTAGAAGATTTGGATTTCGCCAAAAATTGTGATTTATGTCTAATGTCGCACAAACTCGTAGATCTGTAGACGTAAACCAACAGTTGGCAGAAGAAGCGAAGTAGGGCATCGAAGACGGGACTTCCTTCAGGTGAACTTAGAGAAGACAGAGATTATGAAGATACCCAACCAACAACAACAAACACCGATAACCATTAACGAGAGAAACCTAAAGGAAGTGGTCTCTTTCACCTACCTCAGCAGCGTCGTTTCAACTACATGTGTAGCACAGATGAGGATGTCAAAGCCAGGATCGGAAAAGCAAGACACGCATTCATAACCTGGAACCAGTGTGGAGATCTACTGCACTCAGCATAAAGTGTGAACAACATCCGGATTTTCAACACCAGTGTCAAGTCAGTGTGCTGCTTTATGATTCAGAAACTTGGCGTGTCACGAGAAGCACTTCCAACAAACTACAGACATTTATCAATAACTGCCTACGCTGGCTCGATACTGAAGCTCAGACGGCCAGAATAATGAGAATAAGCAACAAGGAACTCTGGCGTTACAACGAACCAACCAAGAACCCATCGCCCAACAAATATGCAGAAGAGAGTGTAGATGGATTGTACTGGACATACAATGAGAAGACATCACGCTCCAGGCTATACCAGGCCCTCGAGTGGGATCCAAAGGGGAAACGACGAGTTGGGCATCGGCGCCAAGGGTGTCATGGAGGAGATGATGTGAGGAAGAAATGAAAGGTTGTGGGCAGTCGTGAAGCCAGGTTCAAGAGACTGTAGAGAAGACAGAGTGCAATGGCGACGTGCTACTGAAGCTCTGTGTTCCACTAGGAACCCAATAGACAAATAATAAATAATATAAATGCATATTTCGCGTGTTTACATAACATCTAATTGATGCACTAGATAATTGAATTCATAGAGTAAACTCAGCTTTCTTAGAGTGCTTATTTTAGATAACCTTTTTCTTGTTTGTTTTTCTCAAGTTATGCATCATCACAATTTAATCATTTGTACCATTATACAACACAACTAAGAAATTGTGACCAGCAATCCATTGGCAGACATGTTCATGTTTGCAATAACAGCCACTTGAAACATCGTAAGAAATTCAGACGTGTTATATCATCATTCTATTACACGAAGGGCTTGTTTTCGTTACTTCTATTGCGTAAAATGTTTAATGATGCAACACCAATATTGTGACCTGATCTTACTATGTAGCGCTCTAAGTTTGCATACCTTACTTCAAGCACATTACAGCATAGCAGTATGAAAGACAGGCAACTAAGGATACATGCCATCAAAACTCTTAGAAAGAGAATAAAGAGTAGAAGGAAAGGATAAAGCAACCAACGTAATACGATATGATGATTACGATAAAGATAATATATGGATACATCTGTGCCAATGAGATTGATTCTCATCCATGTCACTTAATCTTAAGCCATTGATTTAGGTTGCCAAGCGCACCCCAAACTGAATGTCTGCACTTCTTACATTACGTAAGCCAACACTTAAAGACTTCAGGTTGTTATTCATCGTAGACTGACATCAGTTGGAGGAACAAAGGAAACCTGGGAGCACCGGACAGTTGTTTCGTCCTAGTATGGGACTCCTTAGAAGTGCGCACCACGACCACGCCATGGATCGAACCCATGACCTTCAGGTTCTGTGGCCAGCACGTTAGCATTGAGCCACTGGGTCAGAAATCAGTGGTCCATATTTCCAACTTCTGTTAGCTAACGATGTCAGTCTACGATGAATAACAACTTGAAATATTTCCAAATCCCCACAACTCCCTCAAAACTCAAGGACTTCATTCTGTTCTTATAACTTCTAACGCTTACCGAACCTTCAGCTAACTGAATGATCTCTTGGTCTGAAGTAGTTTTGATCGTGTTCAGTGTATTTTCTGTGCACAAACTGTCAACTTCAACTGCGTTCCTTCCGTTTTATTTTTTTACTAAGTATGAAGCATGTCTCAAAGTTGGGACGTGTCGCCATGATATGATTATACACAGTAAATTGTGTGCGTAAGTTTATCCATTGAATAATGCTGTTTAACTGCCTGACACATCTGTTAGAAAAAAGAAAATAGAATTTAAATTGTCCACAGTGGTCACAGTTTTACCCCTTACATGGACTAAATTTTATATAATACTATAATCATTTGACTATCTGGGATAGTCGTAGTTTAGCAGACTGGTGTTTATACTGGGTGATGATTGAAGGTGAAGTGAAAATTTGGACCTCGACTGGATTCGAACCAACGGATGGTCTGCCAACTGAGCTACAAAGTCTACGGTCTTTTTTTTGGACCTCGTAACACTCAGTTGGTAAAGCATCAGACCGGAAACCTGGTGGTCGTTGGTTCGAATCCAACTGCGGTCTACATTTTCATTTCACCTCTGATCATCATCCAGTATAAAGATAGTGACAAAAAAAAACAACAATCAAGTGACATGAAAGGTCATCTTAATTAACTGTTGAAATAACTCATCAAATTGGTTTATTTCGTAGAAGACTATCCTTCTAGCTGAAACAAAGAAATCTGAATGGTTACACTTTAGTGGGTTTTTATAGGAAAACACATTATATAATCAAGAAAGCTGTAAGTACGATTTCAGCACCTTTTCCATTTTTTTTTTTCAGAGGCCAATATACTAAGCCATGAGTCAAACTTATCTGTAAAGGTTTATAATCTATTACTACCAGAGGTGGCTAGGTTGCAAGTGTAACCACAGATATACTGGTTGGATGTTCACTTCTTTTCCAACAATAAATGTGAAACGATCAGTTTGTATTCGAGAATATAATATTATATACTAGATGATAGTTGAAGATGAAATAAAAATTTGAATCGTGAGAGGATTCGAACCAGCGACCCCATGGGTTTTCCGGCTCAATACTAACTGAGGTATAAGGTTGTTTTTTTTTTTATTGTTTGTATGCAGTAGTATAAATAAACTCTATTTAAAAAAAATGATGTAAACCTGTTACCATTGTTTATCCTTTTTCGTCAATTTTAGCTGCTGATTGGTATATTGAACTATTGAAGGCGGATGATTTGTCAGTCGAAGATTTTAATCATTCAGTTAAGTGAGTTCGATACTCATTATTATTTTCATAAGTAATGTATGTTTTTCTGTATATATTCAGTAAAAAAAAACAGGAAGACAAAGGTGATGAAGATACCCAACCAACAACAACAACAACAAGCTCCAATCACCATGAACGGGAGAAACTTAAAGGAAGTAGCCTCTTTCACCTACCTGTCCAAACAGCATCGTTTCAACTACAGGCAGCGGCATAGACTAGGACGTCAAAGCCAGGATCGGAAAGACAGCAAGATAGGCTTTCATTAACCTGAAACCGGTGTGGAGATCTATTACACTCAGCATAAAGTGTGAACAACATCCGGATTTTCAACATCAATCCAATCAAGTCAGTGCTGTTATACGGATTAGAAACCTGGGGTGTCACGAAAAGCACTTCCAACAAACTACAGACATTCATCAACAACTGCCTACGCTGGCTCGTTACTGAAGGTCAGATGGCCAGAATAATAAGAATAAGCAACAAGGAACTCTGGCATTACAACGAAACAATCAAGAACCCATCGCCCAACAAATATGTAGGAGAGGGTGGAGATGGATTGGACATACACTGAGAAGGGCTAGGCCAGGCCTCTGAGTGGAAGCCAGATGGGAAACGACTAGCTGAGCATCCTAGGCGAGGGTGACATGGAGGAGATCATGTTAGGAAGAAATGAAAGATTGTTGGCAGTCGTGGAGCCAGGTTAAAAAGTTTACAGAGAAGAGAGTGCAATGGAAGCGTGCTACTGAAGCCCTATGTTCCACTAGGAACCCAATGGACAAATAATAATATATATTTTCAGAATAACACGAATTTATTCCACTGGTTTTTGTCAGTTGTACAAGGACTATCCATGAATAATCATTACATACTAAATTAGTATACTTTACATGATGATTATTAAACACTCTAATTCAGGTGAAGGGTATCAGATAAGACAGGCAATCCGATTTGTAAGGTTTTGAACCTTAGTCGATTGGGATAGCTTAGACATGTATTGCCCATGCCGAGCCACCACCTACTTTGACATGCTATGCTACTGGGGGAAGTTGAACTAAGTTGAGAGAGGGTTCAAGGTGACTAGTCGAAGAGCTGGCCCCACCCCCAGCTGATGGAGTCTCTGACTATTGGTTTGAGTCGTGTGGAGGATATAGACTAATTGGTTGGGATCCCCAAGACGATAGAAATCAATAGTTGAGAACGGTTGGTGACATGAGCAGAAAATCGGTCACAACAGCCCAGATGTGTTGATTGCTTGGCATCTTTTAAAGCTCGAATATTCAGTTTTTTTCTAATTCTTCAACTCAACTTTGTCTTCTCTGATATCACTCTTTTTCTATTTTTTGTGTACTAGTTGTCAAGTGTGGCAACTTGACCCGATGCACACTTCTGTAAGTGATTCCACGTTGACTCTGTCAGTCACTATACCTTTGACGACTCAGTCAGCAGTTAGGTCATGCGTTATAATATCAATGACATGGTTGCAGGAATATTTACTCTTCTCCCTGTTTATCCTCTCAATATATGACTCTGTCGTAATTAATGAGCCTGCTTTCTTCAGAGTCTTATACTTATCTTATTATTCCAATGACTCGGTTGGTTATTCCCTATTGCTACTCCCTGTGAAAATACATTTTCGTAATAGTGGATCGATGATACTGTTACCTTCCAGATAAACCAAGTAATACCACAGTTCTGGTCACTTTCTGCAGGGTTGAATAACTATTATCATTCTCAGTGACTGTTTATCGGCGGACTACAACAGTTACTTCACATCTCTAGACCAATACAATATAAAAACAATTATGTTTATCAGTATTATTGCTTGTGTATTACACCGTCGTTGATTGGACCGAATTGATCAGTCTCTGTTGGTATATGGGCTCCTGTGTGGATGCCTCGATATTGCCTGTCTTTAACTATGTATAGTAATAATGGATAGTGGCTAGCAGTGGAATCTAGAATGCGCATTTCGTCCTATTTGGGATTTGTCAGCTGAGAGGCAGGTACATCCAGCTGACGAGTCCCAAATAGGACGAAATGCACATCTTGGATTCCACTGCCCAGCATTACTATAAGTTGTATTTATCGTTAAGAAAAGCTCACTATCAAATAATGTCTGATATCAGTACAACTTAGCATTCTCAATATCATACCTTGTAAGATATAAATAGTGATTTTATCTTGTTCTGTTTAATATTTTAGAGATTTTGCACTACCTGGTTCTTATCGACAGTTAATTGTTGTCCCAACAAATGTTGAATATGAATTTCATGAATATTTAGATCCTAATTTACCGTTGATTAAATCTGACCTTCAACTTCTCAATGATCAAAAGATAATCTATCTGTCATATCACAAAGTGTAACACAACACAATGGTATCTGCATAAATAAAGGTAAGTGTTTTATCATGTCAAATATCACATTGTAAAATCGTTTCAATCTAACAATTGAACCGCTGATGTTAGGCAGACCTCTTTCTGATATATCACCACCATCTTACTTTGAATCCATGAAAGTAGTAATGGTGGTAGTAGTAGTAATAGTCAGTTGACCATTCACAGTTGACCACTCACTTCTCATAGATTCCCTCCTCATTACTGTAGATCTTATTTTTTAGGAAATAAGCTTGTATGTTTAATTTGAGAATAGATTCAACCAATTTTCACAGTGTCAAACAAATTCGACACATTTAAAGATATCTCTGTAGATGTTTCATCAATTGAACTGAGTGAACATTGTTGAGAACCAGTTGAGAACTGTCAATAATAAAATAATATGATGGAATTCCAAGTCATTTGTCAAGAAAACTGGTGGCAATTTCATTGTTCACATTTTGGAAATAGAATGAATACAACTTTGATGATTTGTCAAAGAAAAGAGTTAAGCATAGATCAAAGGATTTAGGAATGATAATGTGTAAATATTTTTCTGATTATAAGATAAAATAACTGGGAAACTGATGAATAGAATTTTGTAGATATATATTGTCAACGATGAATGATAACTTTAAAATGGATAAAATCTGAACGTATCCTGATCAACAATGAACTGGATGGTTTGTAAAAACGTGGACACTGAGTTAGTATATGATTCATTGTGCAAGGTGTATTTTTACTTGTTTAGTCCCCACGTAGTATATTAGAACAAATAACAAAATAAACATATATATTTTGTGTATTATTCCTCAATGTTTTGATCTTGCTAGGAAAATCCTTTTAAGATTCGTACTACGCGGAGACTACATAAGTAAAAATACACCTTATATAATGAATCAGTGATCCACAATGGAAAGCTCAGTGACACTTTTGAATTGAAGACAAGAGTAAGACAAGGCTGCCGCTTACTATCACCGATGATCTTCCTGATTGTGATCGACTGGATCATGCAGCAAACAGTGGGGAGCGAGAAGACAAGCATATGCTGTTTGACTGATGAAAAGACCTTAGAAGATTTGGTATTCATCAACGATGATGATTTGTGTCTAATGTCTTGTCGCACAAACTCGAAGATCTACAGGCAAAAACTAACAAGTTGACAGAAGAAGCAGGGAAGACGGGACTTCGAATGAACGTAGAGAAGACGGGTGTTGAAGATACCCAACCAACAACAGCATCAACAACAACAAGCACCAATAACCATTAACGGCAGAAACCTAAACGAAGTAGTCTCTTTCACCTACCCAGGCAGGGCAGCATCGTTTCAACTACAGGCGTGGCAACGATGCGGATGTCAAAACCAGGGTCGGGAAAGCAAGACAGGCCTTCATCAATCTGAAATCAATGTGGAGATCTACTGCACTCAGTATATAGTGTGAACAACATCCGGATTTTCAACAGTAATTCAGTCAAGTAAGCCAGTGCTTCTATGTGACGGTTGAGGGACTTGGAGCGTTACCAAAAAGCATTTCCAACAAACTACAGACATTCATCAATAGCTGCCTACGCTCGATAGATACTAAAGATCAGATGGCCAGAATAATAAGAATAAGCAGCAAGGAACTCTGGCTGGCAACGTACCAATCAAGAACCCATCGCCCAACAAATATGCAGGAGAGAGTGGAGATAGATTGTATTGGGCATACACTTAGAAGGCCGACTGGGGACATCACGATTCAGGCCACCCGTTGAGTGAATCTAAAGAGGAAACGACGAGTTCGGCATCTCAGGCGAGGGCGACATGGAGATGATGTGAAGAAGAAATGAAAGCTCCTGAATGGTTCTAGTGCCAGGTTCAAAAGACTGTAGAGAAGAGAGTACACTGGAGGCGTGCTACTGAAGCCCTATGTCCCACTAGGAACCTAAGAGGAAAAAAATAATACAATGAATCATACTAACTTAGTGTCCACGTTTTTACAAACCGTCCAGTTCACTGTTGATCTGCACAGCAGTCCGCTCTGTTCTACTGTATGGCTGTGAAACATGGTGATTGAAGGTGGAAGACATGAGAAGGTCTCAAGTGTTTGACCACCATTGCCTTCGTAGTATAGGCCGTATTCCGTGGTGTCACCACGTGAGTAATGCAGAAGTGAGGTATAGAGTTTTAGAGAGAAGAGGTAAGTCAGTTGATGAGATTATGAACCTTCATCGACTGAGATGGTTGGGACACTTACTACGTATGCCTAGTCACCGATTGCCTCGTCACACAATGTTGGCTGAGGTGGGTCCAGGCTGGAAACAGGCCCGAGGTGGCCAGACTAAAACATGACACCAATGTATGAAGTCTCTGACTGTTGGTTTGAGCCATGTAGGGCGATGCAGACTAGGTGGTTGGGGTCGGCGGGACAAGAGAAACCAACAGAGGCTGGAGACTGACTTTAGGTGATCACTTGGCTGAGAACCGATGTCAGTGGCGCAGATGTATACATACATTATCCTCATCTTAACGAGGTTATACAGAATCTCACCACTTTCTCATTCTTCCTTTCTTTCTTCTGGTACTTAATATTTCTTTTGACTGCATTCTGTTATGTTCATCTTTCACCTCACTACCTTTCTAATTGATGTAGTGATATGAGGTGTGGCAATTTGGAGTGTTACGCAGTAATGCTTGATCCTATGTTGATAATGATGATGATGACTGTTGATCGGGATACGTTCAGATTTTATCCATTTTAAAGTTATCATTCATCGTTGACAATATATATCTACAAAATTCTATTCATCAGTTTCCCAGTTATTTTATCTTATAATCAGAAAAATATTTACACATTATCATTCCTAAATCCTTTGATCTATGCTTAACTCTTTTCTTTGACAAATCATCAAAGTTGTATTCATTCTATTTCCAAAATGTGAACAATGAAATTGCCACCAGTTTTCTTGACAAATGACTTGGAATTCCATCATATTATTTTATTATTGACAGTTCTCAACTGGTTCTCAACAATTTTCATTCAGTTCAATTGATGAAACATTCACAGAGATATCTTTAAATGTGTCGAATTTGTTTGACACTGTGAAAATTGGTTGAATCTATTCTCAAATTAAACATACAAGCTTATTTCTTAAAAAAATAAGATCTACAGTAATGAGGAGGGAATCTATGAGAAGTGAGTGGTCAACTGACTATTACTACTACTACCACCATTACTACTTTCATGGACTCAAGGTTAGATAGTTATTAGTGTTATTGCTTGTATTACACCGTTGTTGAGGATCGAATTGATCAGTTTCTGTTGGCATATGGGCTCTTATGCGGATGCCTCGATATTGCCTGTCTTTTAACTATGTTTAGTAATGATGGGCAGTGGAATCCAGGATGCTCATTTCGTCCTATTTGGGACTCGTCAGCTGGATGTACCTGCTTCCCAGTGAGTGATGTTGTCCCCACTCGCACTCAGACTCGGGAGCGACCGCTTCAAACGCCAGCGCGTTATCCACTAAACTAAACCACCGCGCCACGATAACCACTTCTTGTGCGACGGGTATAGGTGGCTATCGTGGCTCGTTGGTTTAGTGGATAACGCGCTGGCATTTGAAGCCATCGCTCCCGAGTCCCAGTGGGAACAACATCACTCACTGGGGAGCAGGTACATCCAGCTGACGAGTCCTAAGTAGGACGAAATGCACATCCTGGATTCCACTGCCCATCATTACTAAACTTGGATAGTTATTATTTATTTATTTGTCCCTTGGGTTCCTAATGGACCATAAGGTTCCAGTAGCAAGTCTATCTATTTCACTCTCTTTTCTGCGGTCTTTCGAACCTGGCTCCACGACTGTCCATAGGCTTTCATTTCTTTCATTCAAAGAGGAGTGACAAAATGGTGAAATTCTGTATAGCGTTGTTAAGATGAGGATAATGTATGTATACATCTGCGCCACTGACATCGGTTCTCAGCCATGTGATCACCTAGAGTCAGTCTGCAGCCTCTGTTGGTTCCTCTTGTCCCGCCGACCCCTCCCGACTAGTCTGCATCGCCCTACATGGCTCAAACCAACAGTCCGAGACTTCATACATTGGTGCCATGTTTTAGTCTGACCACCTCAGGCGTTTTTCCAGTCTGAACCCACTTCACCCAACATTGTGTGGCGAGGTAATCGGTGACTAGGCATACGTAGTACGTGTCTCAACCATCTCAGTCGATGAAGGTTCATAACCTCATCAACTGACTTACCTCTTCTCCTTAGAACTCTACACCTGACTTGTGCATTACTTACGTGGTGACACCACGGAATACGGCCTATACTACGAAGGCAGTGGTGGTCAAACACTTGAGACCTTCTCATATCTTCCACCTTCAATCACCATGTTTCACAGCTATACACAGTAAAACAGACCAGACTGCTTTGCAGGTACACGTGACCCTTAATAGAGAAACGGTCTCACTTAGATTGCTGACTGAAGTGGCCGAGTGAATAACAATAAATTTGCGAACGATACTAACTCTATGAGACAAAACTGGATAAGAATAGTGACTGTTCTCCTTCAATACCTTATACTTCACTTAGTTGTAAAGGAAACAGAGACTAAGACTGGCCTGTGACTGGAAGAAAGACACTTTATTCGACAAAAATACATTCACGACAACACATAAATAGAAACACTAGATTAAAAATTAAATGACTTATTTGATTGATTCAGCTGTCATGATATTATCCAATAAGATTTTCCCTAACTATGCAGCGACATGAAATCAAAGTTGACCTAGGAAACGCCTTTACCTTAATGACTGATGACATGGTATGTTGATTTCCATTTAAGTCGTTTCCTGTCACTGAACCAATCACCTTGCATACTGGATATGTAGACTTCTATCAGTCCTAAACAGTATGTACTGATGACCAAACTGCATTAATCTGAATTTATTTTTCTCCCCTTAGCTAAATAGGCGCTTACAATTCAATTTCTATTGTGATGAAGTTACATGATTATATTACTGGTAACGTAATGAGTAGTATATATATACACCGTCTTTTCTGGTTTTCAAATGGTTTACAGACTAAATGATATGCGTAGTTAATTCATATTCAACTAAAGATTCGTATTTTTCAATTTTCTTCACTATATTATATAATATTTTCTTTTGGTTATTGTCTGTAAGCATATGAGTATTGTTGTAATAAAATGTACATGATTTTTCCTTGAAAATTCATACACTGACTATGAATAAAATACTGTAAATGGTTTCATTCAATATACCAATCATGGTATCTAATTCGGCTTGAGTGTTGTCACATAAACTGTGCTTCACACCTCTTCCCTAGGATATATATAACAAAACATGTATCAGAGATTGGATGGTATCATCATCGTCACGCTAATTGTATTTCTTGTGATACGAAAAGATAGGTGACCATGTGTAAATTCATTTATCTAACCAATGAACCATACTAATTGTGAAACAATAGTTAAAGTCTACTTTTTCAATATTCTCAGACTTCAGTAACCTTCTGATTGAAGGTTGATGACATAAACTAGTATGATACAGTTAATTGAACATCTTTACTGATGATAAATTAGTTGGTTGTGGCTAACAGAAGAATCCAGGACGCGCGTCTCGTCCTATTTGGGACTCGTCAGCTGGATGTACTTGCACCCCTGTGATGTTGTTCCCACTGGGACTGGAACCTCGTATCCATCGCTTCAAACGCCAAGGCGTTATCCATTATGCCACGGAGGAACGATAGCCACTTCTTGTACAAGTTGTAGTTATTACTATTTATTGACATACTTGTTATTCTCCGTTGTTTTGTTGGATCGAATTGTTCGACCTCTACTGACATATGGCCTCCTATGTGGATACCTCGATATTGCCAGCTGGTAAGTCCCAAATAGGATTCTTCTGCTAGCCACAACCAACCAATTCACCATAATTGATATTCAGACAATATCAAGGCATCTGCATAGGAGCCCATATGCCAACAGAGATCGAGCAATTCGATCCAACAAAACAACGGAGAATAACAAGTATGTCAATAAATCGTAATTTTTTACTGATGGCTTAAAAGTATAAATTTGTTAATTATCTTATTTATTTTAGATGAAAAACATCAGGCTATTGTACTAACCTTCAATTTACCTAAATCCAGTTATGCTACTATGGCAATACGAGAAATTACCAAAACAATTACAGAGAAAAAATGAATTCAAGAAAATATTGTTGAATTTTATGGAATTATACAAATTGTGTATATTTTTCTTGTAAATAAATAAAAGCTTTGTACTGCAGAAAGACTGATTTGGTTAGTTTATTACTATTATTTTAGAAGTAGTATTCATCATGGACTGACATCAATTGGGGAACCATTGAAAATCTGGGAACACTGGACAGCTGTTTCGTCCTAGTATGAGACTCCTCAGCAGTATGCACCCACAACCCGGCTAGGGATCGAACTCAGGACCTTCAGGATTCACGGTGAACACGTTAACCATTCAGCCACTGGGTCGGCTTCCATAGCGCGACTGTCACCCAAGGTCTTCAGTTAGCATCTATTTCACTTCTGACTGGTTGACCCCACAGGTCATGACTTCTCATTAGAGCTTCCTGATATCCATCAATGGTTCCCCAACTGATGTCATTCCATGATGAATACTACTTTTAAGATAAAAAAAATCCCCATTCGATCCGTAGCCAGGTCGTGGATGCGTACTGCTGAGGAGTCTCATACTGAGACGAAACAGCTGTCCAGTGCTCCCAGATTTTCAATGGTTCCATGATGAATATTACTTCTAAATTAAAAATCCCCATTCATCTCAAAAATATATTATCATTATTATTTTTCCCTTGGGTTCCTAGTGGAACATAGCGGTTCAGTAGAAAGCCTCTTCTCTTCAGTCTTCTCAAGCTGACTCCACGACAGCCCACAAGCTCTCATTTCTTCATCACACGACCTCCTTCATGTCGCCGCCTCCTCAAGCGCCTAAATCATCGTTTCTGATTTAGTTTCCACTCGATGGCCTAGCCCGATGCGTGATGTTCGCGAATGATTTTCTCGGTGTATGTCCAATTCAATTTATCTCTCCACTATCTTCTCCTGCATATTTGTTGTTGTTAATTTATTTTACTAAAACAATTTTAGTTCAATTCAGCACAGAGGATAAGTTTGTGTTTAGATAAATGATACCGATAGTCTACACAGTCTTTGAGTATGCTCATGAAAACAAGTGGTTTAGAGAAGAGATCTATTCTCGAGAAATTCATTCGCTTAGCTGTACATAATCGTATTTATGGTTTGACAAAAATACCTAATAAGCTAAGAAATTATTATCTTGCTTCTCATTATTTCATTACAACTATATCGTAGAATTTTTTCTTAGTTTCTTATTTTGCTATAATGCACTTGTAAGGAGTGTTCAGTGTCATTTATTTCATTGATATGTTGTTATTACACTGAATGAGGTTATGAACCTTAGTCGATTGAGATGATTTGAACATGTACTGAACCGGTCAAGTCCACCGCCTACTTCCATGTGCCATCCTAGAAGCTGGATTAGGTTGAATGGGGGTTCAGGGTGGCTAGACTAACACGTGGCACTAGTCCATGAAGTCTCTTACTGTTCATCTGAACCGCGTTGGGAGATGTAGATTACGTGACTGGGGACCCTGTGACGTTAGGAAATAATGATTGAGGAGTCTTAGTGACATGGTTGAAAACCGGTCATACCAGCTTTAGTACTTGCACTAACTGTCATATTCAGATTGTTCTCTTACACTACTTTGGTATCTGTCTTTTCCTATCCATCTTTTCTGTGTGTAGTACTATGAATTGCGCCAACTTGAGTCAATGCACGTGTGTGCGAGGTTCTACATTGATTCTGTCAGTCATTCACGTCGAATGCATAGTCTGATAACTTATTTTTTTACTTTAATGAAAGTGTAATCACTCTTAAATGCGTTGTAGTGGGTTTAAAACGGCATTCCTGCACTGAGATTTGTTGGAGCCTAGAGCGTCTGTAGGTCTTGGACACTTAAGGTTGTCTTTTGATGATTACACTGTCTAGCACAAGACCAGTAAGTTAGCAAAAACACTCTTTGTGTTTCTCACAACTCACTAGTCTCCTGTGAAAATAACCCTTAATTGAAAGTAGATTGAAGCACCAATTTAATCTATAGGCAGATGCATACACATCTCTGCAGACTCAGAACAGAATTAGCAATGAAAGCAGCCTAAATTCAGACTAAAAGAGAACCCACGCCACGAAGAAGAACGGAATTTAAAAAGATGTAGAAGGCAATACCGATAGGTAATAGTAGACAGCTTTTCAGGCGTACTAAGGACTCTAGGATGAAAGCAACGACTGTTACATAGACAATATTGGAGAAAGATGCATCATACCTATGGGGAAGATGGCTGTAACCATAGGTGAGACACTTTAAGGGATGATTAAACTGACCTTCAGACATTTTGATTGCTTGGACCCCAGTTACAGCCAAAATGGAACACTGACCCTGGATGTCTAAACGTTTAGATAGCTTGAAACGAAGAAGGGGACTGGACTACCAGCATACTTATTCAAGGACATTTGTTCAGGATCAATGATCAGGCTGATTGAAGTACTATTCAGGTTATAAAAGCCAGAAGCGATCCCTTCTGGTGTAGTTACAATTGCTGGTTGTCCTAGCCTTTGAGAAATAACACAGCCTCTTTTGGTAACCTTAAGAATCGACCTGATGAAGTCCGCATGTAAAGTTCTATGATCATCCCAAACCCAACTAGAGCTCAAGAACAGTAGGTATGTGGAAGTGGGTATACCGACCGCACCTTGGATCTGAAGGGGAATTTGTCCGGTCGCTCTAATAAATCCAGTGTATGTGACCGTGCAAGAGCCTACTGTGAGATATCTAGCAATGTCCTTCAAGGATTCTCAGTTGTGTTATTTTCACTTAACTTATTCCTAACTGTGCTAATCGCCATCTCCTTCTCTTCTTTAGCGTTAGTGGTCTGACACGAGATTCCTAAGACGACAACCCTATCATGTAAAAACGGTGACAATTCGAAGTACTTGGGAAGGGTTTCTCATCGCGCATCGCTATATTGGCTCATAATATGGGGGTTGGTTGGAAAAAAGCATCAGATGGTCAAACTAAAACACAATATCACGTCTGTACACTGTGTGATTGCATGACGACTCATCTGTGGTTCGAAACCTTAGGCGATATAGCTTATAATCGGTGGTAAAAATCCATGCACACCTCATCATAATATCGCGTTTAGGTTACTACAACTTATTTTGCATGTTGGATTTAAACAAAAACTGTTGTAAATATCAAACGTGCTGAACATGTTCAAGAAGAAAGGTTATATATACACATGTATATATATCATCATCATTATCAACATAGGACCAGGCATTACTGCGTAACGGTCCGAGTTGCCACACCTCATATCAGCACATCAAGTAAAAAGGTAGTGAGGTGAAGGATGAAGATAAGTGAATGCAGTCAAAAGAAATATAAAGTATGAGAAGAAAGGAAAGAGGAGTGACAAAATAGTGAGATTCGGTATAGCGTTGTTAAGATGAGGATAATGTGTGTATACATCTGCGCCACTGACTTCGGTTCTGAGCCATATCACCTAGGGTCTCCAACCACTGGTTCCTCTTGTCCCGTGGACCCCAACCACCTAGTCTGCATCGTCCTACATGGCTTAAACCAACAGTCAGAGACTTCATACATTGGTGCCATGTTTTAGTCTGGCCACCTCGGGCCTTTTTCCAGCCTGAACCCACCTCAGCCAACATTGTGTGACGAGGCAATCGGTGACTAGGCATACGTAGTACGTGTCCCAACCATCTCAGTCGATGAAGGTTCACAACCTCGTCGACTGACTTACCTCTTCTCCCTAAAACTCTACACCTAACTTCTGCATTACTCACATGGTGACACCACGGAATACGTCCTATACTACGAAGGCAACGGTGGTCAAACACCTGAAACCTTTTTGTATCCTCCACTTTCAATGGCCATGTTTCACAGCCATACAGTAGAACAGAGCGGACTGCTGTGCAGTACACGCGACCCTTAATAGACAAACGAATATCACGGCGGCGCCATAGGTGGCGCAAATTGGCAAAAGCCAATCGAGCCTTTTGTATCCGTGCAGAAATCTCATCGGCAACTAACCCACCGGAGTTGATCCTACTTCCCAGGTAAGTGAAGTGGTCAACACACTCAACCACTTCACTCTCTATTGTTAACCGCGGTACCGCTGAAGACCAGTCCTGGAGCAAAAATTTGCATTTGGGTGGTGAAAATCGCATCCCAAACATTCTCAAATTCCCACTCAAAGTGTTCAGAAGACTCTGCATCTTGTCAGCGTCTTCACCTAACAGGACTATGTCATCTGCATATTCTAGATCTAAGGAAAATTCACCTGTGATCGGGTCAACGTCTTTGTAATTAGGTGACGAGAGGGAAACCTCCATAAGAATATCTATGATAAAATTAAATAAGAATGGGGATAGTGGGCATCCTTGACGGACACCACTTGATGAGTATAGCTCCCTGGACAACTCACCATAGGCTCTAACATGCCCACAAGTGTTCGAGTAGAGAGCTTTCAATAAGGTGATGTACTTACTAGGCACGCCTTTCAGTGACAGACACTGCCATAAGACTTCTCGATCAACGGAGTCAAATGCCGCCTTCAGGTCGAGAAATACAGCTATTGTCGGGCGTCTGTAAGCATGCCTATGTTCCAGGACCTGGCGCAGTGTGAATATTTGGTCGATACATCCACGGCCAGGTCTAAAGCCTGCCTGGTTTTCTCGGGCTTGCTGTTCCCGAGCTCCACTCAGGCGTCGGAGAATTATAGAACTTAGGATCTTAGACACTATGTTTGTCAGGCTGATTCCTCTGTGGTTATCACAAGAGGACTTCTCGCCTTTCTTGAAGACTGGGATGATCAGTGACTTAGACCAGTCGGAGGGGATCGTATTTGATTCCCATATACTGGCTAACACTTCCGTTAGCCTGACTAAGAGAACTCTACCACCATTCTTGTATACCTCAGCAGGTAGTCCGTCTGGTCCTGCTGCCCTTCCCCGTTTCAGGCTACCTACCGCTTTCTCAACTTCTTCTAGTGTTGGGGGACCTGTCTCTATGTCCCATTCAGGGTCCGACTGGATAGCGGGCAGCGCAATGGTGGCTGGAGGCCAGTTAAACTGTTCCTCAAAGTGTCCCAGTCGCCTTCCCTGCGAGTGAATCGCCGATCCGTCCTTCTCCGCTATAACCTCACTAACTGTTGTTGACCATTTCCCCCCAGTCTCCTTAATAAGTCTAAATAACTGTCTACTGTTACCGATCGCCGCTGCCTTTTCCATCTCTTTAGCCTTTGCTGCCCACCACTGTTCACGATCGTTGCGCAGACTTTTCGTCAGTTTATTTTTAAGTTGCGCTCGCTCTTCATTGTACTCAGAGCCTGCAGGGATGCATTCACGTGCATCCATTAGTTTGGAAGAAGCTGCTGATATCCACTGGCTCTTTTTAGCCATTATCTTGGAGTCGGCTACAGTCTCCAGTGCTGCTTTTACAGTAGACTGAAGATGGCACCAAGCTTCTTCTGGATGAGTGACAGTCTTTTGTTCCGATAACTGCCTAGCCAACTTCTCACTGAACACGGCTTTGGTGTTTTCGTTGTCCAGCAGAACTCGTAGTGGTTTTGTTGCCAAATTTTTTCTACGTCCATTGAGACGCAGGCATATACGTGCTCGGACCAACGCATGATCGCTGTCCAAACACGTACTCCAGAAGGAGCGGCAGTCTTCCACCGATCCTCTCCAGCGATGACTAATAGCAATGTGGTCTATCTGTGTCCATCGCTGAGTCGAGCTCGGTGGACGCCAGGTCAGACAGTGCCTTTCTTTATGTCTGAAATTTGTGCTGGCTAAAAATAGGCGGTTATCTGAGCATAGTTGTAATAGGCGATCACCGTTATCTGTACGTTCAGCTGGGATTCCGAAAGTGCCACCTAAGTGCCTTTCTGCCTCACTCAGTCTACCCACCTGTGCGTTGAGGTCACCTGCAACAACCACTACGTCCGAACGTTTGGCTTTCGAGAGGAGGTTAGACAGTTTATGGTAGAACTCGTCCTTCACTTCATCCGAACTACAGTCAGTGGGTGCGTAAGCAGAGATTACAAAGAGACAACGGCGAGTCTCACTATTCCTTTTAGTTCTCACTGTGCCGTTCAGCCTCATAGCGCAGAGGCGACTATCAACTGGGATCCAGTCTAGTAGTGAGTTTTCTGCCCTGGTGCTTAATGCTATACCTACACCTGCAAGACCACGAGAGCTAGCTATCGAATCTCCAGAAACTCGAAGGGTGAATTTTGCAGATTCACCAGATTGGTCAGGAGAGGTCAGGTGAATAACCACACTTGGGTCCTGTATGCGTGTCTCACAAACACAGCACACATCCATGCCCGAGTTGCTAGAGTCTTTGCCAACGAAGCCTGTTGGCCAATTTGACGGAGGGTGCGGACATTGAAGGCTCCAATATGTAATTTGGAGCGTGGTTTAAGGAGACCAGGGATGCTGTTCTGTGGACTCAGATCGTTGTCGAAGGCTGCAGAGGTAGGAGAAATTGAAGATGATGCAGCATCATTAATTAAGAGACGTGAAGGAAGATTAGAAGGTAATGATGGAGGAGGAGGATAGCAGTCAGAAGAAACTTGGGTGCTGACAGAGTTGTGAGGGCGGTTGACACTTCCCGGCTGCCCACACCGTGGAAGGCTATTTCTTCTTAAGGTACCTGAAAGAGATTTGTGTGACCGCAGAGCCCATCGGACATCTGCTTGAGGCCTGTCACACCCAGCCTTTTGAGTATGATTATTTTGAATTTTTGTATTTTTGGGGCCGGATGGTCGAAAGGAAACGACAAGTGAACCAACACCGCCGGCCCGGCAGACCGTGGGGCGTGGTGGAGTGTGTTATTTTTGGGGCCGACCTTTTCTAACCCCCCCTTCCACTGAGAAGGCAGCATCAGCTTGGCACTGCTGGTCATCCAAGGGAAACACCTTACTGCTGTCACACCCCATCCAGCTAGCAGCAGTACGACTTCGCCCTCAGACCCCCATCATAGTGTAGCAATTTACACTATACGGTAACTGCTTTTCGTCTAACCACTACCCAACAGACCTTTCTGGTATGGTAGGACCTCGAGGGAACAAGCGTTCCACCAGCATAGCTCGTTGGGTCATTGTGATATGCAAGCCCGACCACCACGTCAAGGTAGCAGCTATCGGTCGGGCATGTATATATATATATATATATATATATATTCTTGATCTTTAACAGAAGCTGTGGTCTACATGGCCAGACGTTCAGGAAGATCTTGTCCTGATTCTCTAAACTAATCGCTATAGTGATCAAATCACATTCAGAGCTCAAACTCTACGAAATTCGTAACGACCAAATGTTCTGATCATCTATAATTCTATTGCGTTTATCTGAAATAGTGTTTAAGTAGTCAAAGTGAAAAGGTAATTTCATTCATGAAAAACAAAACTTTATTTAGCACAAAAGCTTTGTTCTCATGAAGTCAGTTATTTATTATCCACTGCCTCACCTCCTTAAACTATGTCACTGTACCTGGTCGATTTTTCCCCGATGCTCGAAGATTTTTGATTCGTCCATTTGAAATTCTTTGATAACCACTATTCACTAATGCTTCTTTATAACTTTCTCTTGCAAAGCTACCACCACCAGCAGCACGGTTGAATACTGAATCAGTTAGAATATCTAATTTTCCATCTGTTTCACATTGTGATGATATTTCAGAACTTTGTGACCAAACATTAATTCCATCTATCACATTTTGTCTACGCTTCATCTTTTGAGCTAAACGTCTATATCGAACCGCCAAAATTATTGTACTTGTAATCAAAATTATCGTGATTACTCCTGAACATACTATATACAGATACGTAAAGAAGTTAAACATAAACGTTATTGTAAGAGTAAAACTTCGGCAGAGTAGTAGATTCGTTTATTTGATATAGCACACAGTGATACACTATCTTTCTCTGAGTGACATTTTGAGCAATAAATTCCGTTTGAAACGTTATCCAGTAGATAATACTGTATCACTATGTACTATATCATCAAATAAGCAATTTAGTACAGAATAAACGTTAATAACTAAGGAACTCAAATCGCAGTATAGTATTCATCATGGAGTGATATCAGTTACAATACCTGTGAGCACCGGACATCCGTTTCATTCACTAACCATTTCAACAGAAATTGAATTCAAGACATTCAGGTCTCACGATGAGCGTGCTATGATTCAACCACTTGGTCGAAATCCAGCGGTCCACATTTTCGATCCGGAAACCAGCAAACTACATTCGAATTAACTATTATTATTCTATACCTTTCAAAACACACTTTTTCTTATTTCTACATACCTATCTTACTCATCTAAACGCATGGTGTGAGCATGATAATGATTTACAAATTTATTGTCTGAAACTATTCCCTCAAAAATTGTGTGTACGTAAACGGTGGTAGATAGATATCTTTCGTCGGGGATGATAGTGGAGTTGTGCCTTAGTGGTTTAGGGAGATGACTACCAGCTGGTGAATCAAGAGTTCGAACTGCGACCTACCTACCGAGGTTAGGGCAGCTGGCTGTTTACAGTGACGAAAGTACAAGGTAGTGTGTGTGGGGGAGAGGCCTGCTTTTCTGATCATTCCAATCTATAAGAAGGGAGAGAAATCTTGTTGTGACAACCATAGGGAAATTAGTCTGACTAAGACTGTGTCCAAGATCCTGGGATCTATAGTTACCCGATACCAGACGAGCTCGAGAAAACCATGCATGTTTCAAACCTGGAAGAGAGTACATCGACCATATTTTCATCATCCGACAAGTTCTACAACGCAGGCATACCTACCTGTCAATGGCCGACATCTGTTACATTTCTTGACCAAAAGGCGTCATATGACTTTGTCGACCGTGATGTGATGCGACAGTGTCTGACTGTTAAAGGAGTATCCAGCAAGTATTGTAACCCTGATTAAAGTTCTCTACTCGAACTCACGCAGCAGTCTTAGAGCTAATGGAGACTTATCATGTGAATTGACCGCAACCAGAGGTGTCCGCCAGTGATGCACAATGTCATCATTCCGATTCAACTTCGTTATAGACGTACTAATGGACATGACCTTGGATATGAGTGAATTCACAGGGATCGATCTACTCTCTGAAGATCATCTGGTTGACTTAAAGTATGCAGATGATATTGTCCTGCTAGGCTAGGTGAAGACGCTGATAAAATCCAGGATCTGAACGCGTTGACCGAAAATCTGTCCATGATTCGCGTGCGATTCGCATCTAGCACATACAGGATGATGCTCTGAAACTGATCAGCTGCAAGTACTCCCAGTTTAATGATAGGAAGTGAAGTGGTGGAATGTGTCAACCACTTCGCTTACTTGGAGGGGTTGCATCAGCCCGAACGAAGTGGTTGCTGATGAAATTCCAATTCGGATACACAAAGCCTATTTGGCGCTTGCCAACTTGCGTCACCTATGGAGCCGACTGGCGAGGTATCCGACTACCTAGCAAAAGACGAGTATACCTCGCGGCAATTCATTCTCTCCTGTAGTACATCTGTGAAATATGGCCTATTAAAGAAGACATGAAGTAGTTGCTGATGTTTGACCAGAGGTGTCCTCGTAGCATTGCTCGCATTTGGTAGAATCACCGTATGAGCAATGTTGAGGTCAAGAGAAGGGTACTAAGCAAGTCGATTGATGAGGTTGTGTATCTTTATCGGCAGAGATGGCTTAGACATATACTGCACATGCTGAGCCACCACCTCGACGTGACATGCCATCGAAAGTTGGATTAGGTTGGAAGAGGGTTCAGAGTGACCAGACCAACATGTGACACCAGTCCATGAAGTCTCTTACTGTTGGTCAGAGTCGTTTGGGGGGATGTAGACTGCTTAGTTGAGGTCCCCGAGATGAAAGGATTCAGTAGTTGAAGACTCTTGATGCCATAGTTGAAAATCGGTCACAACGGCGCAGATGTATTCACTCCTTGATATCTTCCAAAGCTTAAATATTCGCACTAATCATTATTTTCACATTTTTTATTCTCTTACACTATTTTATCTACTTTGATATTAGTCTTTTCCTGTTCTTCATGTATTACTGTTTAGTGCGACAACTTGAGCCGATGCACCCGTATCGGAGGTTCAACGGTCACCAACCAGGTCGTAAGTATCATTATCCGTCACACAATATGTGTGACTGATTGCCTACTGCACGAATGTGCAGAAGGTGGCTTGAAACAAATCTCTCTCTCATTTGAACATTGAATTTACATCTGTTTGGAAGATGAAAGACACCTAATAGTTGATAATTAAAGTTAATTTACTGACAACTTTCATTCTTCCTGGTCATTCACTACGAAATTGGAAGTAATGTGGGTTATCCTGAAGACAATTTACTTTATGTTTTCTTCTCCAAGTACTCAACTTTAACTTGTGCTCAACGAAATCTTATTCTTGATATCACTGAAGTTAGTGCTGATGATGTCGTCTAGCAAGGCGATGAAAGCTTCACGATTAAACAACCCAGCTCAGAGAACACAATACAACCAAGACCATCCACCTGAGCTACAAAATATTCTCCATCATGGGGTGATTTTATCACTTCTACATAATGTCTAAATGATTTACAGTAATTTTTAGAGAAATATACTTACTCACTGAAATATAAAATAAAAGTTGTCTAATACATATATGATCTTGTCGAAATTCAGCTTTCTGCTTTAGATCAAGAATCCATGTTGGCAATGTACCGAATCGTTGATCATCTGTTAAACTGCATAAATGTGAATAGGAATCAACATCAGGATTCATGATGTTACCAGGATCCATATCAAATTTACAAACGAGTAAGTTAGCAGGAGTTAAACAACTTTTTACAGCAGATGATTCAGCTAACTGTAACTGAAGAATATTTTTGAAAAAAAAATACAACAATTGATCAATTTAACTTGAGTATTTTTGTTGACAAAAAACTTAAAAATTGTTTATCAGAAATAACAGAAATACATGAAATATTATCTGACTGACTGCATACTTCTCTAGTACCATATACATTTATTGGTTCTCATATCAATGAAGGATGAACTAATAGAATTGTTATTTTCACCAAATTGAGTTCAATGATAGTACAATATGATCGGGGTATTAAACTGCTGAAAAGTTTTGATTTCTCTTCGGATCAGCTTGATCATCAAACAGTGTACAATTCCATTCTAAAAATACTAATTGAAAAACTTATTGATAATGTTTCCGACTACAGTAACGAGCAATGCAGCTCTGAAATTCACTACAAATCCTTCATTGCTTGCGATTTCTCCTCTAGGTATTCATATGCCTACACTAGCTGTATTTCTAGACCTGAGGATGGTGGCATTCGACTCCGTTGATCGAAAAGTCTTATGACACTGTCTCTCACTGAAAGGCGTGCCTAGTAAGTACATCACCTTATTGAAACCTCTCTACTTGAACACTTGTGGGCGAGTTAGAGCCTATGGTGAGATGTCCAGGGAGCTATGCTTATCGAGTGGTGTCCATCAAGGGTGCCAACTCTCACCATTCTTATTCAATTTTATCATAGATGTTCTTATGGAGTTCTCCCTCTCGCCACAAGGTTACACAGACGTTGACCTAATCACAGAATTTTCGTTAGACCTAGAATATGCAGATGACACAGCCCTGTTAGGTGAAGACGCTGACAAGATGCAGAGTCTTCTGAACACTTTAAGTGGCAATTTGAGAATGTTTAGGATGCGGTTCTCACTATCCGAACGCAAATTTTTGCTCCAGGATTGGTCTTGAGCGGTGCCACAGCCAACAATAGAGAGTGAAGTGGTGAAGTGTGTCGACCACTTCACTTACCTGCGGATTAGGATCAGCCCTGGTGGGTCAGTGGCAGATGAAATCTCCGCACGGATACAAAAGGCTCGATTGGCTTTTGCCAATTTACCACACCTATGGCACCGCCGTGATATCCGTTTGTCTATTAAGGGTCGCATGTAATGCACAGCAGTCCGGTCTGTTCTACTGTGTATAGCTGTGAAATATGGCCATTGAAAGTGGAGGATACAAAAAGGTTCCAGGTGTTTGACCACCATTGCCTTCGTAGTATAGGCCGTATTCCGTGGTGTCACCATGTGAGTAATGCACAAGTCAGGAGTAGAGGCAAGTCAGTTGACGAGGTTATGAACCTTCATCGACTGAGATGGTTGGGACACGTACTACATATGTCTGGTCACCGATTGCCTCGTCATACAATGCAATGTTGGGTGAAGTAGGTCCAGGCTGGAGAAAGGCTTGAGGTGGCCAGACTAAAGCATGGCACCAATGTATGAAGTCTCCTCTGACTGTTGGTTTGAGCCATGTAGGGCGATGCAGACTAGGTGGCTGGGATCGGCGGGACAAGAGGAACCAGTAGTTGGAGACCCTAGGTGATATGGCTGAGAACCGATGTCAGTGGCGCAGATGTATACATACATTATCCTCATCTTAACGAGGTTATACCGAATCTCACCATTTTATCATTCCTCCTTTCTTTCTTCTCGTACTTAATATTCTTTTGACTGCATTCTGTTATGTTCATCTTTCACCTCACTACCTTTCTACTTGATGTATTGATATGAGGTGCGGCAAGTTGGACCGTTACGTGGTAATGCTTGGTTCTATGTGGATATTGATGATGATACCTTCCAGAGGATGGTTCCAGAATCCAACTTTGTATACTCACATCTCATCTTCTAACTGATTGTTAGAACGTATGCGCCTAAGTCAACCAACTATTTGAGGCATAGTTATACAATGACACTGAATCTAACTAAACATTTAAATTATTTCGGTATTTTTAGCGTAAATAAAATCCGTGGATCTCATTATATTTATTATTTGTCCTTTGGGTTTCTTGTAAAACATAGGGATTCAGTAGCACGCCTGTATTTCACTCTCTGCTCTGCAGTCTTTTCAATATGACTCCACAACTGCCCTGAAGCTTTCATTTCTTCCTCACACTATCTCCTCCATATCACCGTCGGACGCCCAATTCATTGTTTCCCCTTTGGATCCCACTCGACATCGTGGCCTGACGCGTGGTGTCCAAAAACGGTTTTCTCAGTGTATATCCAGTCCAATCAAATCCATTTGCATTTTCTCCTGCATATTTGTTGGGAGATAGGTTCTTGGTTGGTTCGTTGGCAGCCAGAGTTCCTTGTTGCTTATTCTTATTATTCTGGCCATGTGACCGACCTTCAGTGTCGAGTGAGCGTAGGGGGCAGCTCTTGATGTGATGTTGTCTGCAGTTTGTTCGAAATGCTTTTCGTAACGCGCCAAATCTCTCAACCATGACATGAAAGCACTGATTCACTTGACTGACTTAATGTTGAAAGTCCGGATCTTCTTTACGCTATATACTGAGTGGAGTACAGTGCAGTAGATCTCCACATTGATTTCAGATTGATGAAGGCCTGTCTGCTTTTCCGATCCTGGCTTTGACGTCCTCATCAGTGCCGCCGCCTGTAGTAGAAACCGTGCTGTCTTGTCTAGATAGGTGAAAGAGACAACTTCCTTTAGATTTCTCCCGTTAATGGTAATTGGTGTTGGTTGTTGGTTGGGTATCTTCATCACCTCTATCTTCCCTACGTTCACTGAAGTCCAATCTTCGCTGCCCTGCCTCTTCTGCCAACTTGTTGGTTTTTGCCGTAGATCTTCGAGTTTGTATGACACTAGACATAAATCATTATCAGCGAAATCCAAATCTTCCAGGGGCGTTTTATCGGTCAACAACGTATCCCCATCTTCTCGCTCATGATAGTTTGCTGCATGATCCACTTCGCCACAATCAGGAAGATCATCGGTGATAGTAGGCGGCAACTTTGTCTTACTTCTGTCTTCACTTCAAAGGCATCACTTAGCTTTTCATTGTAAATCACTTGGCACGTAGCATTATCATATATAAATGAGGTTGAAAAAGGTTTGTGGTAATATTAACTAATGCCACGGAAAACATGTAATGCTTCTACATGAAAATTAGCTGTCAACCACCTTCACAGTAAATCTTTTAGCAAGTCGGTATTTTAACTTAAGATATATATATATGATATAAAAATACGATAATCGTATCCGATTGCCAATCACTTATCCATATATGTAATACAAAATGATACATTTAAAACTCTTTTAAAAAAAAGTGATAACACAGACTAACTTGAGCTCCAGGAACTTTCTTCACAATTAAACACATTCTTTCACCACTTTCTATATTAGGATAATCCATTGTAGCTTCTAAAATATCGCCTAAGTAGAAAACAATACTATTATGTATCATGTTTGTAGACTGTGGATTGACTGATGAAATAATATGATCAGATTGTAGTGTTTTATAAAAATAACGCATATCATTCACTCTTGGTAGTAGGCTATTTAACTTGGTACACATATCAGCTGCTTGAATCCAACTGTGTATAGATACATTCTTGTACCATGTAAAGTTGACTCTATTCCCATGTATTCCAACTCGTTCTACACGATAACCTTCAGGTTTTTCATTAGTTAATAAGCTTTCAATAGAAAATAATTTAATCAAGTATATATAAATAAGTAATTCTTGTATAATTTTCAGCATTATGTAATTGTGTAACTGAGATGAGAAATTTGACACAGCTATTTAACTTAGTCAATTTATGTAAAAATTTAGCTTATAACGAATTTGATTGGTTCTTTTTCAATGGTACCACAATGATTAAATATTCATATATATTTAGGTTTTATTGCTAAAATATGCTAATTAGGATGATATTATAAAATAAATTAATAAACTTATAATCTGATAGGATTGGTTACTTTTGTGGATAAATCAATAAACTTGAATATGAAGACTGGTATATAGTGAAAACACTTCGAGGAATAACTTCAAAATATATTCCGGTGGAGTCAAAGCCTGATGGCCGTGAAGACAGATACTCAATGATGACATTGAGTGGCTGTTTGCGCTATATATCGTGAGCTAAAAGAAGCTGGAAATATGGAGTATTGGATTCTGACCCAGTGGCTAGCTCAATGGTAACGCGCTGGTCGCGGAACCTGAAGGTCGCGGGTTCGATCCCTGCTGGTGTGGGGTCGTGGGTGCGCACTGCTGAGGAGTCCCATACTAGGATGAAACAGCTGTCCAGTGCTCCCAGGTTTCCTATGTTCCTCCAACTGATGTCAGTCTTCGATGAATAACAACTTGAAATATTTCCAAATCTCCACAACTCTCTCAAAATTTAAATGATATTATAAGACAAATTAATAAACTTATAATCTGATAGGATTGGTTACTTTTGTGGATAAATCAATAAACTTGAATATGAAGACTGGTATATAGTGAAAACACTTCGAGGAATAACTTCAAAATATATTCCGGTGGAGTCAAAGCCTGATGGCCGTGAAGACAGATACTCAATGATGACATTGAGTGGCTGTTTGCGCTATATATCGTGAGCTAAAAGAAGCTGGAAATATGGAGTATTGGATTCTGACCCAGTGGCTAGCTCAATGGTAACGCGCTGGTCGCGGAACCTGAAGGTCGCGGGTTCGATCCCTGCTGGTGTGGGGTCGTGGGTGCGCACTGCTGAGGAGTCCCATACTAGGATGAAACAGCTGTCCAGTGCTCCCAGGTTTCCTTTGTTCCTCCAACTGATGTCAGTCTTCGATGAATAACAACTTGAAATATTTCCAAATCTCCACAACTCCCTCAAAATTTAAATGATATTATAAGACAAATTAATAAACTTGTAATCTGATAGGATTGGTTACTTCAGAATATTTCCCATGATTATCCATCACACAATATCATCAAAACATCTTGCCATAACATAAAGTTTTTTCTCTTCATATTTTGACAAGTGATTAATATACTGATGAAATACAACTGTCTCAAATGATTCGAAAAGATACTGAACTAGTCTAACTCCTTATCACGCTATTTTATCTGCATTGGGTATAAGAAAAGGTATCTGTGTGAATATAGACTAAAACATGGTCTATGTAATGGAGTGCTATCATAGCTACGAATTTTAACTGTTGACAGCATATCGTAGACCTTAAAAAGAACCGTTTTAAGTGGGTTGCAATGGGAAAGAAACATTCAAATGTGTTATTAACTTGAATAAAGCAAGGAGAAGGAAAATGAAAAAAAAAGATTTATTCTGAAGTATGGAAAAGAAAAAAATCACCTAACTGTAGAAAAGAAGCATATTTTCATACAGTTTACATTCATAGAAGTTCCAGTATCTAAGCGAATAGACACAAGAATCAAAGAAACATTGAGGAGACTTCCTGTAGTTCAACTAGTATCAGTATACAATACTACATGGTAGCTAAACCAGTCAAAATTTGATAATTACCCTGCTCATGCCACCGTCAACTGTATTTATGAATTTACATCAATTTGCGGTACTAGGTACACTGAAATAAACCAAGAGGAGGGTGTCCATTCGGTTTCTTGAGCATATTCTCAAGAATCTGTGCTTGAAAGGAAGTAATATTCCAACTACCACCCCATTAGCAGACACCTCATAGACACAGAACATGAAGTTGAAACCACAAATGCTTTTAAAATAATTAACGTACATAAAATGTCTGGATTACTGCGTTTCACAGGAAGCAATTGCAATAAAACGTTCAAGCCTAATCTTTGCATAACAGAAGGAGAGAGTGGTTAGTCTCTCACTCCGTCGGTGAATATGGTTTGATACTGTTTTATTTTAATTTTACCTATATGACTCTCAATTTATTTATTATTATTTCTCTTTTCTTAATTCTTTCATGATTATTCATCACATACCACCTCATCTTTCGAAAAGTAATCAAAATCGTCTTTTACACAAAGCAGAAGCTGTGAGAATTCGAGTTAATAAGCCTAGTCTTTGTATCTAGAAGAAACTTGCACATCCCTTGGCCAGGGAATACTTAGTTGATAACTTTATCGTTGCGTTTTTTTCCTACCCCTATTCTTATTCTTCACCCGTTTCATACACTTACTGTATTTGTCCAGACGATATGACGCCGGTTGGTGAAAGCCTCCAGGAAGCCAGTCGGCCGATGTGTCTTCTCTCGATGAAAGCGAAAGTAAGCATGGGGACATGGAATGTCCGAACAATGTTCTAAGCTGGCTGGCTCGCAAGGCTAAGGAAATGAGGTATAGCATAGAAGTGCTAGGCTGAAAATCTGCGAGGGATCTGCAGATGGAATGGAAGTGGACTCTCCCAACTGCCAACTGGAGAGTCAATAATCTACTCCGATATTGTCACCCAGACGACAACCACGAGCACACTGAGTTTTGGAGTGGCTATCATAATGTCCCCTCCTAAGAGAATCGAAGGCTCTCTCTCATGCAGTGGGAACCAATCTCCACCTGCAGGATCAGGATCATGACAGCAAGATGAATTCAACTCAAAAGCAAGGAAAGTCACAATCATGCAGTCCTACGCCACGCACCTACAAATAATGTAGATGAAGAGAACTGCAATCATTACTGGGCAAGACCTCACCACAGTTGGCGACATCAAAATCCATTCCAGTGGGTGGAGTGACATGGATGTCAAACTGGGAGCAGACAGCACAGGAAGAGGACTCACCCATCATGGGTGGAGAAGCAGTCGGTGAAATGGACGAGAGTGGAGAACTGTTTGCAGGCTTCTGCACATTTAATGATTTGGTGATTGGAGGCAGCGTGTACAAACACAAGGATATTGACAAAGCGAGGACATGGATTTCACCAGACACTAGGACACACTAAGAATCAGATTGACTTCATCTCAATGTGAAGAAAGTGGAGACGAAGCCTACTGGACACAAGATGAGATGAAGAAGGGGAGCAGAATTAGGTGGTTCAGATAAATAATAATAATAATATATTTCGAATAATAAATTATACGAACACATGCCGTTTGTGCAGGCAATGTCTGAACATTATTGTTGTTTGTGAGTCTGAGAAAGGTAAGAAAGGACACATTGGTGCATTATACATAGTCTGACAGGATGCACTTATTCAACTGTTGCTGGCTAAAAATATTAGATACTAAACCTTTTGCTATATAACAGTTGTGGAGACTGCATACAATTGTGTATAAACCACTTCAACTATAAGCAATATTTTCCTCTCATCGTTTCTTTTACACATTCTGTATATTCTTCCTAATACTTGTAAAAACGAATGTTGTTTATATATACACTTTTTTGGCCGTGGCGGTAATTGCATCTTTTGCTGCTGCTAATCGTGGAAACATAATATGCTTCTAACCATCCCAACTTCTGTCTCCATGACTACTGCCTGTCGTGCATAATAACTGATTGTCTTGGGAATTTACAGGACTTCTCATCCTACTTCCAAATATTACGACAATCTAGCCGACCGACGACCACAGCGGAGAGATGACAAATATCGCCTTCTGATCTCTGGAGTATCCCAAAATTGTGGTGGACAATACCGAAGAGATAACCTCCAAGTAACCAGTGATTATCTATAACATTGACAATACTATTTATGCTATAACGTATGACTTTTCATACATGTGTATCATAAAATCCGTTTTTCTTGTAAATTGTACGTAGTTTGTCATTTTGGTTTACTTGGGTCCACTACATATTATTGGTGAGCCCGATTTAGAGAACTTCCTTCGCTTCATAGCCATATTTAGAGTTTGATTTTGTATATTTTTGGTAATTTTGTTAATTCTTCGGCCACTAATGGGTTCCCCACGAGTTACCTCCCCAAGCTTACCGAATGGGCAGTGGTGGTGATGTGCAGACGAGCTGATTACACGTCATATCGGACATACGACATCCCCCCTATGGTTTGCTCAAATTGAGGCTCTTTTCATGGCACGCAACATACGCTCCCAAGCATCTAAATATGCTTATGTGGTAGGAGCCTTGCCCATTGAGGTCACCACCGAAGTCGGAGACTTGATCGATAATGTTCCTGAAGAGGCACCTTATGACAAACTGAAGTCATCAGTTATCCAGCGGACATCTATGTCCGACGAGAAACGGCTGCAGCACTTGCTTACTTCATGTGAACTGGGGGATAGAAAGCCTTCACAACTACTTCGGTACATGAAACAGCTCGCCGGCTCATATCAATTCGATGAGGCTGTTCTCAAGCAGCTATGGCTTCAGAGGCTTCAATTTAATGTGCGGCAGATACTCAGTATCTCGGCAACAACTACCGAACTAGATAGCTTAGCTAACATGGCTGACAAAATAGTGGAAGTCTACCCAGATTATCTTTCTAATAGCCATTTGATGACAACTACAACCAATAGCCTCCAGTTTAACCTGCCATCAACCCCTACCCACTCCTCTAGTATTCAAGAAGAGGAGCAGATGTAGGTGGTTCAGATCACAAACTATCTAGTGCAAGGAACCTTCAAAACCAAGCTGGTGATAGACCAC